GGGAGCTGTTTGTTTGGAGGCAAGAGTACCTGGAGGACGCTGGTGTGGTGGAGGAGGGAGTGTACTGGCGCCTTGAAGCGCGCTACCTGCGAGTGAGGGAGGGTGGGTTAGCGCCAGGGTTGCCAATAGTGCCTCAAAACGCAACTTTTCCTCCTCTCTTCGTGTCTCCTCCCTCTGAAGTTCCATCTCTCTGCGTCTCTCGTCCCGGTCGTCCATCCACCTCAGAATTGTGGCAATGTCCGTCACTGGAGGTGGAGGATGAGAGTCTGCGCCCGGTGGAGGGGAAGGTGGTGGGGAGTCGTGTCTCCCATCTTGACGTTGTCCCTTCTTACCTCCCATCTTTGTGTGTGCATGGACTGCACTGTTTAGTATATAAAGTGGCGCCTCAACAGCTCGAACCACATATATATGACATAAACAGCGCAGAAATAACGCATATAGTCCACTGTTCTGTCCGTGAGTGAGTGCGTGCGTGCGTGCGTGTGTGTGTGTCTGAGAGATTGCTTCGTGGTGGCCTTAATGCCGGTGGCTGGAGACGCGGCGGGAGTGAGACCGTCAGTGTCACCCGGGATGTCACACGAGAAGGGTGTACGGCTGCGTGCTCCGTGGGTACCACAAAAAACAGGCCAATGCTCAACTCTCAGCTCTAGACACACACTAATACACTGACACTAACACTGCCACCGTCACTAAAACGCACTGTGACGGCCCAACACTGCACATCGCGGCGAAACACAGCGCAACACAACACAACACACTATGAGTCGACGCATCACCGGCAGACGTAACTGTCTCGGCACCGTTCACACACTTTGTAAGTCCACAGATCCTAGCCACTGCGCCATGGTGGTTACTAGTGTTCCCTGAGGAATGCAGTGATGGGTAGGGAAACACTGGGTAACACTGAAGTCCGTTTAATATGGTATGAGAGAAATACAAGTGGTGACTCGCGTGTGCCATGCACGGCTCACACAGTCAGACTGAGGCTGCCTTGCCATATGGCAGCCTCGGGGCAATGTTGCCACATAACGTGCAGTGTTGCCACGTGATGATATATATAAATGCTACTCGGCACAGTAGCTTATGTACAGGGTTGCTACTCGGCACAGTAGCTTATATACAGGGTTGCTACTCGGCACAGTAGCTTATATACATAACCTACAAGGTTCAGGTGAAGAGAAGGTCGCATCTGTTGACAGGATTAAAAAAGACCCCACAACACAACCAGTGTTTGACTGATGTGGAAACACTCCGGGGGCTTGGAACCCCTACCGAGCAGAAAGCTGGCTCTAACGAGCCAAGGGGCTGCTCAAGTAAAAGGAGGGGACGTTCTCCTACAGGCAAGTCCCCCCCATGGGATGCAAAAAAGGAGAAATAAAACTCAAAACGCTAACCATTTCAACTCCCAGACTTAAAATTCAATATCATCCAGTGGAACTGCAGAAGTGCTAGGAATAAAAATGCTGAATTTCTCTTACTAAAGTCATTATTTCGGCCAGACGTTGTTTGCCTACAAGAGACGGTACTTGTGGATCAGGTCGACCCACCTGTATTAAACAACAACACGGCATACAGGTGAGATAACCCAGCCCTATTTATTAAGAGTGAATTCGCCCAACGAAGAGTTGACTTGAACGTGAACCTGCAGGCTGTAGCATGCAGAGTCAAGTTTCGATCTGACTATGTAACCATTTGCTCACTATACTGTCCGCCGGGCGGGCTCATTGCTGAAGGTAAGCTTGAGGAGCTATTCAACCAACTACCAGGAAAAAAGAATGATCCTTGAAGACCTCAATGCTCGCCATCTGCAGTGGGGCAGCGTCCGGGAGGGGGGAGCAGGTGGCTGCAACCATATTCAACTCCAACTTCTCTCTTGAATGACGGTAGTGCGACTCGAGCAGATGGGCGATTTGGTTCAGCATCAGCATTTCTTATGAGTGTGACGCCCCAGCGGCTACTCTCGAGGTGCTCTACAACATTAAGAAAGCAGACTGGGGGTCTACTCAAGATCCTTTCATATAGACACCTTTGGAGAAGACATCAATACCAAAATTACACTCATAGAACAAGCTATAATACACGCAGCAGATTTAACAATTCTTAAGACTTCTGCAACTACCCACAAGGTTCCATGGTGGACACCTGATTGCCGACGAGTGATTTGTGAGTGCAATAGGCGGTGCCGTGTTTTCAACAGAACTCCATCTATGGAAAACCTCATAGAATAAAAAAAAAAACAAGAGCTAAAGCTAGGAAAGTTATCAAGAAGTGCAAGAGAGAGTCTTGGTGGGCATTCGTCTCCATTATTAACAGGGATACACCTTCTTCTCGGGTATGGTCTGCCATAAACCGGATAAAATCAAACAGAAGAAGGACCTTTATCTCACAGGTGAATAGTGGAGGATGAATTCTCGACGAACCCCAGGCCACTGCCAACGCCTTAGGCCAGAAATTCGCAGATGCCAGTAGCTCCACAAATCCACACGTCTGCGTGTTCCGTGATCGTGCCGAGCTCGGGCATCTCTACTTCGAAAACGGGAAACAGGATTACAATCGAGAATTCTCTCCAGAGGAGCTTTCCTTAGCTTTGGAAAAGGGTAAGGGCTCTACTCCTGGACCCGACGGTATTCAATATGAGATAATTAAGCACCTTGACCAGGGAAACTTGGACAAGTTGCTAGAAGTGTACAATGAGATCTGGACGTCCAGAACGTTTTCAAACTCATGGCACTATGCCCATGTCGTACCGATCCCTGAGAGGGATAGATGCCCTACGAACACCAACTTGTTCCGTCTGATTGCACTCACAAACTGTCTGTGTAAGGTCACAGAACGTATGATAAAACGTAGGCCAATGTATTTTTTAGAAAGTAACAACTTATTGAATGATCGACAGTGTGGTTTCTGCCAAGGTAGAAGCACACTAGATCATTTAATAAGTCTTGAAACAGACATATCAAAGGCCGTTTGCAGTAAAGAAATATTAATTTGCAGTATTCTTAGATATAGAAAAAGCCTACGACATGACATGGCGAACTGGCCTCATGATGAAGCTCCAGGCCTTAGGTTTGAGAGGTAATTTACCTGTTTTCATTAGAAATTTTTTGCAAGACAACTTTTTTCGTCAAATTAAAAAATAACGTAATGTCAGACACATTTGTCCAAGAAAACCTAGCCCCACAAGGCAGTGGCATCGGTCCTGCACTCTTTCTTATAATGATTAATGATTTCCTATCAACAGTACCTAGCCTAAGTGACCTCAAATTTTCCTTGTTTGCCGACTATTGCGCAATCTGGCGCTCCTCTCGGGTCGAGAGATGGTCTGCACAGAGAGTGCAGGTCGGCCTAAAAAACGCTGAAGAGTGAGCAATACAATGGGGGAGTTAGACTCTCAGTTGAGAAGACAGTAGGAGTGGTCTTCACCAAAAAACGTAACGTAAATAACCCACTATTGAACTTAAATGATACTCCTATTAAAATTCAGACTTCAATATAATTTCTCGGTGTTCATTTTGACCGGAAATTAACGTGGAAAAACCACATTAACGAGCTTGAAAGTAGATGCCTTAAAATCACAAACATCCTGAAAGTTTTATTAGGTACTTCATGGGGGGCCGATAGGAAATCTTTTTTAATGGTATAAGACCCTGATCAGATCAAAACTTGACTATGGTTGCCAGCTGTATGCATCTGCAAGCGACACCACGCTCGCAAAGCTGACCAGAATACAGAACCGATGCCTTCGTCTATGTCTGGGTGCCTACAGGTGTACATGTTTAGAAAGACTGGAGGTCGCCCCACTCCACAACAGGAGGGATATGCTGACGTTAAGGTACTCGGGCTGACTGTGGCTAGGAGGCAAGAAACAGGGCACCCAGGTTGGTGTGCTGTCGCTAGCCCCCGCTACTTGCAACTGCATAGGTCCCACTCCTCGGCCGTCTGGCTCCAGACCTTGTGCCAGGGTGCTGGTGTCCATTTCGTTGTGTCCGCCATGGGAGAACCCCAACTTTCATGTGGAAACATCGTGGCCTACATCCTGATCTCCTAAAACAACTTTTCTATCAATTTCTAGAAGGATAAAGCGCCAGGGTCACATGTACACAGACGACAATGTTGGGGCCGGTATCTGGAGCACAGACGGGGAGTGGAGTTTCCGCTTGCCGCGGCATAATAATAATATAATAAGTGGTGACCTGTGGTGTAATGGTCGGCATCCTCGCCTCACTAGCAAGCGGACCCAAGTTCGATCCTTAGAAATACCAAGTTGAGGGTAAGAGGGTCAAGGGAAGGCGGAGACTGGGATGGATGAATGAAGTTAGAAGCCTTGGAGGAATGGTAGAAATAGCCCGAAAACGTTTGGAGTGGAGGACTTTGGTCGCCAACCCTCAAATATGAGGACGGTTCTCTGATTCGTTGACTGAGGTTAGGTTCTTGATGATCTTTTTGTTTTGAAAAAAAAAAAAAATATGTATTACCTCCACCATTTATGGTGTGGTCTTGATAAATTTAAGAATGTTTCTTGTACTGTATTCAAAAGTTTCCTATCTCAGCTACGGACTCCTGTTCTTAAATAGTACACTTTAAAGTTTTCTGTTATAGTTTCGTTACGTTTCGCTAGGTTTGGTATTGTTTGTTTTTTGCATGTTTTGTCCCACAATTTCCCTTTAATTCAAAGCCCTGTCCACTGAATTTTTAACATTAGGATGATTACAAGCACACAAGATAATGAAATACTTCGGACAGCTATTGAGAAATGGAAAAAAAAATTGCAAGGGAAACAGACTGATGAAAGTGATAACGAAGGAGGACTCTTGATATAGCAGCCAGCACCATAACAAATGTGAGGTTAATAAAGAACAGATGACGGGGAAGAAGATTAATGATAGCTTTGGCAAAACTGGGTTAAGTGGTTGTAGTAAACGTGGAAATTCCCGATAAAATTACAATAACTGACAAGGTGCGAAGGTGTTGAATCGTTGTTAAGTAAAAGGTGGACTTACCAGGCTAAGAGAGCCCTGAGGAGGACCACTTCTGTCGTGATATGTAGAGGCTGCAGAGAGAGATGCTTTAGTGCGCTCCTAGTCAACCGACCAAACTGTGGAGACGATAACACAGCTGTCGGCGAGTGGTTCACAACCTGCAATACAACCTTTAATATAACAACTTATAGCATAACAACACAACCAATAACATAGTAACCACTAGTATAACAGCCAACACAACCTACACCTTAACAACAACCTCTATTATGACAACACAACCTCTAGTATAACACAACTTAAATTATATCAGCTCAATCTCCAGTATAACACAACCTAAGTTATTACAGCACAACCTATATTATAAAAACCTATATAATAACATTACAACCTCTAGTATAATAATACAACCTTTTGGAAGACAACTCATTATCTACAACATGGAGGTTAATAGTAACACTACCATAATTAATATAATAACAATATCTACTTTACTATAAGAACACAACAACTACAAAAACACAACTACAAAAACACAACACCTGATATTGCAACATTTACAACAACACAACATTTACAAAAAACACCACAACAGTACACCAACGAATAATAAATATAACTATCTTACAAACGTTCCCAGTGACATGTACAGTATAGAATTATCTGACACTTAATTCCGTACATTTTATTTTATATCAGAAGATAATAGTTAAGTTACTATTGATATTGTTATGCCATCACTCCTCTTTATCAGGATTCTGCCACTAGTCAAAATAAGAGGCGAGGCTTGATCGTGATAGCATTGAGAAACACCCCTGCCACTGAGAGTCTGTAAGGATGTTATTGACAGTGCAGAAGAAATTTAGCCAACAGTACTCCATGCTAGCTTCTCCAGTATCTTACTTACGGCTGGGAGGATTGATATGGGGCGGTAAGTCTGGAAAAGACCTTTGTCCCCAGATATTTTATATGCTGGGTGAACTTTAGCAATTTTCAGTTTTTCCGGAAAGACACCACTAGAGAAAGAGGAGTTGCAAATGTGTAGGAGAACAGGTAGTAATAAGTGGGCTACTTTCTTAATGATGCTCATTGGTATACTGTCTTCGCCTGCCGTTGCATCTTTGGAAATTTTTTATGATGGCCAATAATCCATCTGCTGTGATAGGGGATAAGAACAGCTCATTTGGCTGTCTGTTTTGCAGGTAGGCTCTAAATTCCTCAAGGTGATTAGGGATGCTCTCTGCAAGATTTTTGCCAACATTAATAAAATACTCATAAAAGCTGAGTGGGGGCCGAAGGTTGGGTGTTCCTGTTCTGAAAAGAGTTGCTTGATGATGACTGGAGCTTATTTGTATAATAGCTACGCTTGGCATTTCTAGCTGGTTGAGTTACACTATTCCTGACACTTTGGTAAGCATCACCGAAAGTTATGGGTCTTTTTGCAAATTACCTTTGGAGTTTGTTTTTCTTTTATCATTGTTCTTGATTTCACTTGTGTTATAGGGTTTAAAAATGGATACAGTTTTCACTGACTTAGTCTTGAGCGGGAAGCATTTATCAAAGCAAGCATTGAAGATGCAAGAGAAGTTGCAGCAGTTAACGTTAGGGTTGTCGGAGGCATAGATAAGATACCACCTAACATTCAGTAAGTTGTTTTAAAAAAGGAGCACGTTGTCGGCGCTGTAGTCTTTGTATTTTATTGGGACTATACTAGACCTTTCAGATCTTGTGACTGTTTTATACTTGGCAAAAATTGGGACGTGATCCGAGATATTATCAACATTATGTAAGTGACTATTCTTAAGGTGTGCGCACATGTGTGTGTGTGTGTGTGTCACACTAAATGGCATTTTTTGCCAAAAAGAGATAACTTTTTGTTTTTGTTGCTACAATGTAATTAAAATTAATTTTTATGTGTTAAAATTTGCATTTTCATTCATGACGCTGTTTACCGTTACAAGGTAAGTTGGTCAGGTTATGTTAGGTTAGCATAGCTTATCAATGAGGCTATTCATTTATAGTCATTAAACTTATTATTATTTACACATTCACAATATCTATTATTAATTATCAGACAAAATGTCTTCCAAAAGAAATGCATAAAAGTTACTCAGTGGCTATTCAGCCGTCACTGGTTGATTAGCCTGCTGTGGTACCTGAGAGTTTGTGTACTTTTTAGTTGATTACAGTAGCTTAGACCTCTCAAAGCTGTGTGGTCAGGTTATGTGACGGCGACCACCGCCACCAGTGTCCTTTCTTTCTTTTCTTTTATCCTCTTCACCACTGATCGGCGCGTTAGCCGCTTGGGCGATCGGTCACGTCTCTGATAACTTTTAATTTCATTTTATCCTCTTCATCAACAGATCAGCTCGTTAGCCGCTTGGGCAATCGGTCACCTCTCTGTTACGCACTGTTGGCAAGTACTGGGCATGCACCGGCTCCTGAATGTACCTGAACCTGCTCCAGTGTTGGTCAAGTCTGGTCTTGAAAGAGCTCACACTCGGTGCCGTCACAACACTCTCTGGTAGATTGTTCCCAGAGTTCACAACTCTCACTCCGAAAAAGTTTGCCCTCACAGTTTTCTGGACTTGTGGCTTCTTCAATCTTGATCTGTGACCCCTTGTGGGGCGAGCGTCCGCCAGCTCCAAGTAAGGACACTCGACTGAGTAGTGCCCCTTGAGATGCTTATACACCTCAATTAGGTCACCCCTTGCCCATCTGTAGTAGAAGCTAGGCAAGTTCAGGCGCTCCAATCTCTCAGGGTAGCTGAGGTGCCGAAGTGTAGGCACCAGTCTGGTGGCCCTCCTTTGAAAATTTTCAACCAACTGACAGTCCCTCACATATCTCGGGGACCAGATGGGGTGACAGTACTCCAGATGGGGAAGTACTTTACTCTTGAAGATCGTTACGAGGGACGGACCGTCTAGATATCTGAACGACCTTCTTATAAGACCCAATAATTTATTTGCCTGCTTTATCTTATCGCAATGGCCCGAGAACTTCTGCTCATTGTCAACATACACACCTAGGTCCGTTTCTCATTCGGTCTCAAATAGTGCAGTTTTTTCATCCCGTTGGGACATATGATACGCCTCTTTACCGTTGTTATGCCCCAGGTGCATCCTCTTACACTTCGTGACATTGAATCTCAGTAGCCATTTCTTCGACCATTCTTGGAGCCAACAGAGGTCCTTCTGCAGCTCTTCACAGTCCGCTTGGTTCTTGATTTCCCAAAATGACTTGGCGTCATCGGCAAACATTTGTATGGAGGAGTGTACTACATCAGGCATGTCATTTATGAAACAAACAAACAACAGCGGGCCCAATACACTCTGGTACCCTCAGGTACCCCACTTGTGACAGGTATGGATGATGATTTCTTGCCATTAATCACCACATACTGTTTGTGGTCATGTAGAAAGTCTTCTATCCACGCTAGGACATTTGCCCGAATTCCGTACCCTTCCAGTTTGATTTTGAGCCTTTCGTGGGGTACACTGTCGAAAGCTTTGGCAAAATCTAGGTATATATTGTCGATATTACCACCCCGTACCAGAATATGGGTCCAAATATCCAATACCTTGAGCAATTGTGTTAAGCAGGAGCGCCCCGGCATTGAACCGTGTTGGCAATCCTTTACAAGGTTGTTTCGTAGTAGATGTTCCATCGCTGCATCTCTGAAAATACTCTCAAGTACTCTACATAATATGCTGGTCACGCTCACCGGTCTATAGTTGTTCATGGAGTGACGATCGCCCTTCTTGAAGATAGGACTCACATAAGCCACTTTCCAATCACTGGGGACCTTTTGTTCATCCAGGCATTTACAAAACAGGATCTTCAGGGGCTCGGCAAGCTCGTTGCTCAACTCTCTGAGCACTCTAGGATGCACCATCTCAGGGCCGGGACTATTATGGACCTTTAGCTTTGACAGTTTATTTCTAATACCCTCTTCTGTGAACACAATGTGGGTCAGTGCTGTGTCGAACCGTCTGTCCTCAAACGCAGGAAGGTTAATCGTATCCTCTCTTGTGAACACAGAAGAAAAGAAGCTGTTTAATGCCTCAGCTTTATCCTGGTCAGAATCTGCGTAACTACCATCTTCAAGCTTCAGGTCTGATATTCCTACTCGCGTTTTTAATTTCGACTTTGCATAGCGGTAAAACGCCTTTGGGTTTGACTTGACCTCACTTGCAACCAGCCTCTGGAAATCCTTTTCAGCCCTTCTAAACTCTACCTTTGCTTGGTTTCTGGCTCTTGCATACATCCTCCTGTCCTGCTCACCGTTTGACCCAACCCACGTCTTGAATTTCTGGGTTTTCCTCTTAACTTTGTCGACCGCCGCATGGTTCATGTGTAGGGATCCCCTCGTATTCCTAGAGGCACTGGGTTTGGTCTTGGGTATATATTTATCGGTCAAATGGGTCACTTTACTAGTTATGATATTCAGCGTAGTGTCTGCGTTCTTTTGCCTTCGTGAGTCAGGCCAGTGGATACCTCTCATCTCTTTCCTCATCCCGTTGTAATTTCCCTTGTAATATATGCACCTTGGCCTGGCCTTATCTTGAACTAGGTAACAGTTAAATCTGAATGACAACGCACATGGTGATTGGTGCCAACTGGGGCAAGGTGTTCCAGTTTGGCCACCATACCCTCCTCTCCTTGTTTGTTATGATGAGGTTTAGTGGCTTGGGTGTTTGCTCCCCTCTGTAATGTGTCGGGTCTCTAACATGTTGGAACAGAAAATTATCTCTCAGAGTGTCTACAAAAAGAGTAGCAGGGTTATTCAAGTCATTTGGGGTGAACTCGTTTCTCCAGTCGATGTCGCCATAGTTAAAGTCCCCCATGATAAGGAGGTGGCTAGGGTTGAGCATCGCCGTGTTGTCTATTAAGGCTCTTAAGTTCCTTTGATTTAGTGGGCCACAGTTTGGGGATCTGTAGATACACCCGACGATAAGTAAGTCCCCTCCCTTTAATTTATTTTTACACCACTTGAACTCTTCAAAAACATCCTCTACCTTTACCCTCGCCTGGCTGGCTCTAAGGTCTTGCCAAGCATAGATAACCACACCCCTCTTGCTAGTTTCTTGAGAAACGTTCGTAAATGAGTCATATCCAGCAATACTGAACTCACATTCCTCTGGGTCGATTTTCCTGT